GCACACAATTGTGGGCAATTATGCTCAGCTTAGATAGCTGGGGAAAAAGTTCAGATCAACTTTTCAGGAGCCGTTACCACTCCAGTTTTGAACAGTGTGATGAAAGGAACCAGACAAACATTTTTTGATGAATAATGGCAAAGGGATGTTAAAGAAACTACCTAAGTAACATTGTAAGAGTGGATGTCTCTGAGGGGGAATAAAAATAAACTCACATTTCATGGAGAAAATATTACAGGAAGTAATATTCCTCACTTTTAGCAACCATTTAGACATATTCTCATCACTGCTCACTGGTCAAAATCATGAGACAACAAAACACAAACCCAGCAGCCTTTGTGGTATGATAGAAAGCCATCACACATGCTCCCTCTGCTTCACAGCAAACCACATCAGGATCACCTCACATCACCTCCACAGCTGCACTACCCACAAGCAGGTTACAGCACAAACACCAGTGCAAGCAAGCAGCAGCACAACACAAAATGGGTAAAGGTGAGGGGCAGAAATTAAGGAAGACTCTTTCACAGGACTATGCAGTAGACAATTGGCAATACTTCTTTAGACCAGTTCTACTTTATGTATTTGCATTCACAATGTGTTCTCAAAGCTATGTTAAACAGCTTGGCACAGGAATATAACACATTCATTAGGTAAAATCATTAGGAAAATAATGGAAAAGAAACTTGTAAAATAAAACTACTAAATACACAGTACACAGCAGGTGGAGTTACAATTTATTACTACCTTTTCAGTCACAGTATTGTACATTTGACAACAAAACTTACAACCCAGCCCCTCTCCAAAATGTCTGAGCCAAAAGAAGTCAACTGATGCACCCAACTCCTTAAACCACCCAGGAAAATTTGAAAAACCTGCCCTTGCAAAGCCTGAGCAATCTGAGGTTAGGAGATCCATCTGAGAAGACATATTATATATATTAGAGCCAGTCAATTTATTATTTACTTTTAAGAAAGGCTGTAGAGTCTTCTCCATTAACTCCAGAGCAAGCAAGAAAGATTTTTGCAATACTTCAAAACAACGATCACTCAGGTTCTCTTCTTGTCAAGTTTGAGAGTATTTTTTTCCTTACAGCAATGACTGAAGCTTTGTCCAGTTGCTGTATTTCCCAAGAAGCCACATTTAATTGACATCTATTTGAATGGATACATTAAAAACACTCAACTTTGTAAAGATTGATTCAGTACCACAAATAAACAAGACATACCTGAACAGTTATATATCACTTTGCACCCTTACTCATGCTGAACGTGCCTGAAAAGCAGTCAATACCATTCCCCTCCCTCACATTTCAAAATAGGCACATGCGTAAGCTTAAGCAGTGTACTTGGTGCTCTTCAGGCTTTTTATTTTCATAAGTGACTGGAAGCTCCAAACTTATCCACCTTCCATTTAGATCACTGCTTTTCAATCTTCTGCTGTGCGACACAAGATATCCATAGTAACAACTAGACTAGGATAATCATTAGGTTCAAAGGAAACAAAGCTCATTTGTCTGTCTTTTAGACTAAGGCTAGGAATGAGAAAATTGATTGAGCACAGATGTGAGGAAGGGTCTGAAAACTGTTTAGAATTTGGCTAAAAGGAATCATTTTTGAACATTAATCAACAAGATAAATCTTTAGAGCTCCAAGTTCACTAGTGCTAAGCACTGAATTCAATAGGATCCCATGGCCTAAAAGTACTACAGGGAAAGCAATTTCAGGCCAATGGACAATGTCAGAGTAGCAGGGGTCAGGATTGCTGGGATTATAGATCCACATTACCCGATGGGTTTATGATCAATTAATTCCTGTGCAAGAAAAGAAACTTCCCTGTTCATAGAAGGGTGCTAGGTGTGGGGAGGCAACAGCTGGGTTTGGGCTGACAGTATTCAACAGACTGGAGTCAGACCTGATTCAGAGAAGCCACCCGGCTTGGGTTTGTGGTCATATAGGAAATAATTTCTCTCTGCAGAACTCTAAGCCCAGCTTTTGCACCTTTTTTTCCACTTAATCTTCTCTCTATCCTATAAAGTGATCACACAAGGACCCTAATTGAATATAGTTCCTGGGCAATTTAGTGAACTCATGTGGGCAAATGCTTCATACTGAATGCAGAGAAGCACATGGAGTAGGAGTGTGAGCAGATAAACAAAGTGGACTTGGTTCATTTGCTGAACAAATGTTGAAAGGAATACTTGTTTGATTGGAAAAGGGAGGGCACTGACAATAAAATGAAACCAAAATGTTTCTCTATGATTAAAAGTGTTCATTCAACCAAAAGTGAAACTCCTTGTATCAATTATCCAAAAATAGCCCACATTCAACTTAGGTTGAATAATGTGTTTCACTTGATGTCAAGTCAGGAAACATAAAACAATTTCAAAATACTTGTCGTCTTAATTTCTTATTTTATTTTTAAATTTAGGGCTATTTTAATTTTAAATATCATTTTTGAATGAGAACTGGAAAAAAAAAAACCACCTTATTCTGCTGGTGACATTTACTGGTTTATCTAAGTTCTGTAAACACTGAGTCCTATATGAGCATAAGCAAAATGAATCCCAGAGCAATCAGTTTAATATCTTATCTGTTGGATCTCTGGCTTTTGTTAGATTTTGGTAACAGCACTGAACAATGTTTGGGGTGGGGGTTGACTATGGTTTGGGTTTTTTAAAATATATGCTCTTGTTTAAATAAGTTGCAGACATTCCTTTAACTATGATCTTGGTTTTTAATAGTCATATTTTGACACATCAGGACAAGCCTAATGAGATATACTCAGACTTAGATATATTTAGACTGATATGATGCAATATGCAGCTATCTTGATATATTCAGGCTCTCACCAGAAACACATGGCAAATGTGATCCATTCACCTTCATCTATTTCTGTGCAGATGCAATGGTGGCAAATTTTCAAACACCAGAAACTCCTTATCAAAACTGAATATTTTTATGAAGTATATTCTTTACTTCAATCACAGTCACAGGATATAAAACTGGCAGGTTTTCTTTCTCAATTTCTGTTAAGCTAAAGGTCACACTCTCTAAAGACTGTTAGTAATTTCCAACCTTATCACCTATGAATTTACAAATTTGTTTGAAGACTTCACAAAAAAGAAGACCAAAATGAGTGCTGTGATTTCTACACTGAGAAATAATTTCATTTTCATTCCCAGTTTAAGGCTAACTTCTGGATTATTTCTGCTTCAGCTAGTATGACTGAAACCTGAATAGATGGCAAGAAAGAACTTGTGTTTCAATAAGAGACTCTTCTGAGGTGTTCAGAAGCCTAAATAAGTAAACAAGTGTTCAGTAGGATCTAGGGAAGAGTGGTGCAGTTTACAACTGGTGCAGAAGAAATGTGCTTTTAACTTGCATACTGGTGCATTCACACATACACACTTTTCACTTCTATGAATGTTAAAAACATTTTGTCTGTGTTGGGTAGGTCAAATGCTCAAAGTTGAAAACATTTATCATTCAGTTGGTATGACTCCATTGGGGACAGCAGTCATATATCAACAAAGATTCAGGACACTGACTTTTCCTGAGGGATTCAGGGAGTGAGGGAATACATTAACCACAGGCACATTTTCTTGCTATTCCACTGCTTATTACTGTGCCATCCAGGGGAGCACATTATATCATAATATTTTGCATAATGGCTGAATATGATACATGCCTTTTTAAGACATGACAAGTCCAGTCTCACTGCACATATGACCCTTATGACCCCTCACATAAACTTTGGTTCTATCCATAGAGGTTTACTTTCTTTCTTTGTGTGATTTGTTCCAAATATAAATTCTTCTAACCTAATCTCAAATTTAATTGAAACTTGTAAGCGGATAATACTGTCCATAAAATGGAAATTAATCATTTTTAAAGCCAGATTCCAGTGTTACATCCAGCAATATTTTATCCAGAAATATTTGAACAGGAAACTAAAATGGAGAAATTATGCCTTAAGTTTTAGCTTTCATATTTTCCAGATTCTGTACTGCTATAGTATATAGCTCTGTTCAAGTTCCCTTCACAGTTTAGTTAGACAAAAGAATCCTTTTCCAGCCAGAGAACCAAGGACACCATTGCAGCTTCAGGCCCAAAAAGTGTAAACAACAGGGAATTGAGGAGAGCAATCTGGGAGGATGACACTTCATAACCTAGAGCTGTAATTGGACAATTAACCCCAATTGTAAATGGGCCAAAACTTATGAAAATGTGAAAACTTGTGACCAGGTGTCCATCTTGGGTCCATCTTGGGTGGAGCCACAGTTGGGCTCTGCCAAGGTGTATCCTTTGAAGGCCTTTTTAATAAAAACCTACCTTATTCCTTTAACACTATCTAGCCTCTATTCTAGGTAGCCTCAAAAGGCATCAGAAAGAATTGTTCAGTGAACAATTTAGATTAATCTCTTCAAAACAAAGGGGTGGTATTGCTACATGAGGACAATTCTATGCTGAGAACAGTTCAGCTAAAATTCCTTTTCCTGTGATCCCTGTTTTTGCTGGGGAAGGGAAGGAACATCAAATACTCAAATAGTTCACCCGAGCAAGGAGCAGTAACTACTGCTCCAGAGTGGGAACACATTCCTTATTTCCTCTAAACACAAACTTATTTCAAGTAAAAGTAATCCTTAAAAAAAATGAAACCATTATCTCTGGCTCATTAAGACAAATTTCAGTATTTTTGTCCATTTTCAGAGATGGTTTGATAAAGGTATTGTTTCCAATTACTGTTGACACATTTCTTGTACTTGGGCTTACTAAAGCATAAAGGCATATTTGAAATGTCTGTGTTCAATATCACTTATTCCCATATGCCTAACTCAGAAATCACTGTTTAATCAATCCACAAGTGGAGACAAAATCCATTAGGCTTACAATCAATGACTGTAGATCATCTTCAAATAAAGTCTTCACTAAAGAGCTCTTTTCAAACTGAGCAAACATTAAGTCCTGAAGTTATATAATCAGCAAACATCTACTCACCAGAAAGTGTATCAAAGTCAGAACTTGGCATATCATAACACAGCTTTGATTTACAAGGTGATGTATGTTCATGGCAGACAAAAAAGAATCAGCCCTGGCAGACAAAAAAGAAGGTGAAACTTTAACACTTATCTCCTTTTCATATGCTAGTCACAATAAAAATGAATTTGAAAATGCTTTCTAGAGTTAGAACAATATTTTGCTTATGACGGTTCAGTGAGAGGCTGTTGCACACTTGTACAGTGCAAAATTCTGTATTCATTGTATTTTCACTGCTGACAAATAGGGAAACATTAAGAATTCTGTCTAACTTTGGTAATTATGAATTACTTAGATTGTGTAAATAGCATTTAACAAGAACATAGAGATTCCCAAACAAAAGGCAAAGTATAACATTTTCTTTCCAAAGCATGGCTTTACTCTATTGCCTTGCGCACAAAATTTTCCAGGATAAACTAATAGTCAACTGTCATGTTAAGCCCCCTTGATACCAAGTGTCAGTTATCAGAAAAAATATATATCCTATATCTTGTCATTAATCTGCACTGGGTTTTATCCACAGATCTCAAAACAAGCCAACAAGCTGCCAACCCTGACAGCTGCAAATGTCTCGTGCATGAACGTGTACTGTGGGCTAGATTCCTATCTCAGTTACAGAAGTAACAATAAAAGCTCCTTTTGTAAGCAACATCAACATGAAAGAAGTACATCAATTATCTATGGTAAAATTACAGGTAGAACCTGCATGAATATGGGAAAGAAAATGAAACAGTAATTTTGTATGTGTAAATATTGCAAATTTAACTCTTAATAAATTAACAATTCAGTCAAAGAAATGAGGAAACTACTCCAAGCAACAAAAAAACCTCCCACCCCTCCATTTTTGAAAATTTATTATACTGGTTCTGCACCAGTAAGACATTTGCTATTTGATTTTATGCTTACGTGGGGTGAAAACTATTTCAAGTCTAAAGAACTGACAAACTCTTTCAGGATATTATTTTTTACTGTCAACAGGAAATCAACCACCTTGCATTAGATCTCCCTCTTTCTCTGTTCCTGAACTCTAAGGATTCAATGCAGTTGAATACTCCCCCTTATGGGCTGCTACAACATGACATTATCATGCTCTGTATTTCTCTGAACTAAATGCTACCACCTCCAACAGAGTTAAGATAGGTATGGAGTGATACAGCCCATAGGAACGCTTTCATTTCACTACATCCCTGAAAGCAGATTTTTGCAACTGCATATTGTCATTCTTTGTTTTGCTTTTAAATGTGGTCTTGCTCATCATTATTAAATTTCAGAATAAATATATAGGAAGACAATTGATTAAGTCAGGCTCTGCTGACTAGTGTTTTGTTCTTATTGGAATTTACCCTGGACAATAAATACAGCCAAGCATTGTTGTTAGGAGATTTGCCACTCCAGTGACTTGTTTGAAACCACATTTATTAATCTGGTAGGAACCAAATGTAGAACAGTGAAACAAAATCTAATTAAAATGGTATTTACTATATTTTCCTGAAGAAGTGGAAAAAACTACAGTATATGTATGTGGCCACTAGCATCTGTAGATTTGGTGAGAATAACTTCCACCTCCAAGTTCACTATTCGTTCTTCAAATCAAGCAGTCTATTTCAAAATGGATTTGCAATTTCAATGTGCTAATCCTTTAGAAGAAAACTTTACTAGTTAGATCTTATATAAGATCTTCTGTCCTAGATTATAATTCGCTCAACTTGAAATGCCTTAAAATTCAGAAAGTCTTTCCTGGGTTCTATTTTCACCCTATTACTGACTGAAAACACACAGGGTCTCTCACCTGCTATAACTGACTGTAATAGCTTATTCCTCAGGGCAGTTTGTGTTAGAACACATTCCCTGTTCTATGTCCTCACATGCTTGAGGAAGGGAAAGTGTGTTGATATTTTTTACCTGAAATGTTATTGAAACAGTAAAACACATAATTACCATTGATCCTCTTCACTTCTTTTTAACACCAATTCATCTTCTCAAAATGTTCCAAAGAACATTCATTAACAGTGATATAATTTCACCTCCTTTGTGCTGTGTCAGTCCAGCAAAGGGCTCTGTTCTCTTGCAAAGCCTTCAGAATTCAGCTGGTAACTTCAAAGAACAGCAAACCCTAACTTCCCACAGCAGATCCTGTAACATAAAGCAAAGCACATTAAGGATTAAGATCCTCTCTGGAAATAAACAGAACTTCATTTGATTCAAGTTCTCCCTGAACTTTAACTGAGTGGTTTTGGGGTTATTCTAATAAAACAGTTCACTAAAAGGCATCCTTTCTGAAAGTGCTTTTATCTTTGCTTGTTCCGCTCATAAAAATAAAAATGAATGGATTTATCTGCAATGGATTTGCAATTTAGATATCTAAACAAAATAATCAGATTAACAATTTTCTGCAGCATATTAATTCTGTGGGAGTTAATACTTAAAAAAAATTGATTAGAACATTTATTAGAACACTCAAAGTGTACAAACAATACAAAGGATAAAAACAACAACAGAACTTGGCAAAAACCTCCTAAAATTCCTTTTTAAAAAAAAATAAGCTTCAATACTGGAACTCCATATAACATTTGACAAATAGTTCCCAGTACTATTTTTATCTCCTCTGTGAACAGCGGGGGTAGTGTCATCTCCATTTAAGAAGTTCACTTGATTCTGCTTTTCAAGTTTCCAAATAATATTAAATTCAAAAACCAAAATTCCTCTATTAGGCAAAAATTTTACAAGTCTTAAAGTCTTACCTTCTGAAACAGGGAAGGTTATTCAACATTTCTCCTAAATTCTGTTATGAAGCTATCAAAAAGCACTGAAATTTTACATGAAATGTTAAATTTCAACTTTGCTCTTTCTGAGATTGATTGTTTTTGAATAGAATCTTCTTTTGGCTCTAGGATTCTTCTATATGCAGCTGCACAAAAAAGTCTTGAGGTTTTAAAACTGGAGTTCATAGTGGGAACTAATTGTAAATGTATTTTCTTACTAGTCATAGGTAGTACAGGTAAGGATATTTTTTTAGAAAACTAAACATTATAAATATGAAAGGTCTGTCTTTCAGACAGAGTGAACAGATACAGAAAGCTGCTTTTCCAAAACAGAATCACCTTGGTTTTGAGATGTTTCTAATCTTTAAAGAAGGGGGAAACACCCCACTCCCACAGGCAGTTTGTAATCTAAAAGCAGACAAATTGACAGAAACTCATGGGGGAAAAAATAGGAGGCAGGAAGGAAATCCTTATGAATTAATAGATTGGCTCCCATCAAACAGAGGGGTCTGGTCTCCTCTTCAGTCTGATTTGAATCAGAAGCAGGGTGAAAGCCAGACTTTCAGACACACAGACAAAGTTGGCCACCATGTCCTTCCCAGCACCTTCTTAGAGATTCTTAACCACACTTCTGCAGGAGAGGAGTTTCAGCTTATTTAGTTTGACAAGCAAGTATCTGGGCTCTCAGGTTTCCTGAGATACAGATAAAAAATCTGAAGGAGATTGATAGAAGAAAACCCTCACAAAAATATTGCATTCTTTCTGGCCTTTTTCTCCTGCTGTTCTGCTCTTACACAAAGTGTTGACTCAGAGGGCTCTGCATGCTGTGAGAAACAGCAAGAGTTAAGAGAGCTGAGTGCAATTCATCTGTTATAAGAACAAAAAGGAAAATGAAGATAATTATTTAGAGTATCATGAAGTTCAGTCCATCCAGGGCAGAACCTCAGTTCTTAAGACACTGAAATCATTCAATACCTCAATTCAAGCTTCCTTTTGGATCTGCAATTATTTACGAAGTCTTGATAGATAATTATGGAGGAAAGAGGTGAGCAAGATTCTCAGTAAAAAAAATTCATTATTTTGAGAGTCAGTGATTGTGAGGCTTTGGAAGTGCAACATGAAAATTACTTGATGGTTACTGTCCCTCACATGTTATTGAGCTTACTTTAACATCACAAACAAAGACATGGCTGAGGCTGATGTAAGCACCCTGCAAACTGGCAGTAGAAATCCAAAAGCTGGACTGGCCAGTGGAGCAACACTGATGGCATCATGTCAGGGATGTGACAGGGACACTGGATCAGAGCGCCCACAGCACACACTGTGACAAAATATTAACTCTAAACAATACAATTATTTCTGTGCCTGAAATTCCAGCTAGAGGTCAGCCACCCAAGTCAACAGGAAAGAGTGGAGATGAATACAGTTTAAAGCAACTTTTTTTTTTAATAACTTCTAATCTGTTATAAGCTATGGGCCATTCCAATTCATTCTGATACAGGTGTACCAGGGCCAGTGTCTGTTCCCACAGCTTTTGCACTCATATGTGCCAATCACAGATACAGCACAGTGTATGAAGCATTATGAACTGGGGCACAGCTGACCAAGAGGAGAGAATTGCCAGGGAATTCAATGGTCTGCTGTGTCTGCCAACAATGGAGAGATGCAAAATTGCAAGCAGAAATAATAGATCATGCTCTGGACAGTGGAGAAGAGGTGACAAATGAGGCATGGGATGTTATGCAGAACATGTACGTTCCAGAGGATGAAAGTCATCACTGCATTATCTGATTTCTAACTTCTGGCCTCAGTGGATAACCATAGCATAGTCAAATCTCATTGCTTTGAAGGTCACTGCTGAGGTTTTTATCAGCCTGACATTTGTTGTCAACTTTTTTTTTCTAAGTTCTCATTTCATTTTAATAACAAAGGAATGAGGACATGAAGGTTATGCGCAAAAAAACTCCCACTGATTCTTCATAAAATACTTGAATCTAAACAGACTTCAATTTATCAGGAACGTAGGTAACATTACTTAGTTCTTTATTCACATCATACTTCCAATCAGCTTTTGAAAACAGGCATGGAATTCTAACATAGGACTGCTTTTGAGGTGTTCAAAAACCTAAAAGAAGCATAAGAAAAACACCATACAGAGTGCAAATGTTTGAGTTAATTTAATCTCTTTCTAACTTCCTATGGTTTATGGTTCACTTCTCTAGAAGTGCAGTTAACATTCACCAGTTCTAAAGAAAAGAATATTTCCAGAGAAGTGAAGCATTCATCACTGAGGGAAAACAGGAAGCTTCTATTTCTACTACTGTTCAGTTTATTGTCTGGCAAATGCAGGTTTGCCCAATGCAGTGCAAGACAAAACAAAAGCAAGGGGAAATCTGCTTAAAACCATAATTAAGACACTTCTTATCCCCCCAAACAGTAGCGTATTCTCCTTTACACTATCTGATAAAACAGCAGTGTTACATACATCAACATTAGGTAAATAATTTACACTGTATACTGAAGTGGGAATTTTACAATAAAAATTCTTCTTGCAAATGCAGTTTAGCCAGTGTGTTTATTCCCCACATTGCTTCAAAGTATATTCATCATTTGAGATATATCATTCCCATGACAATGGGATCACAAGGAATCGTGGTATAACAATACTAGACCAAACAGACAGAATGTCAGCAGTGTCAAACTGGCAAATATATCATTTAACCAGAGATCAAAAGAGAAAATCTGAAGGTCAGAAATGCAATATTTATAATGCTGTCAGCAGATGGATGCATACCAAACACCTCATATCCAGACCCCTAAAAAGCTTGGCAGAGGAATGTTTACAACACACAAGAGAAGTGCTACTGGAGTGTCTTCCATTCGTTTCCAATATGAATGAACTCTGAGGCAAACATTTCCTAATACACTCCTCAGGAACAGCAAAAAATTTTGAGATACACTTTCATGCTACCAACATAAGCAGCAGCCAACTACTACCCTCATTCCCACTAATTCCATCTGGTACAACAAAATCCCCCCAGCATTTTTCCAATAAGCAACACATTTCCTTGGAAAGAAACCAACATGACTAGGATGGCTGCTGGCTTTAGAAAAGAAGAGAGAATAAACAGAAGCAACTCTGTATTGTCACTGATTGATACAAGGCACTTTGAACAGTGCAAAGAAAATACCTGTAAGAAAATTTGTGGTTTTTCTTGAGTATCTCTGTGACAATGGAACTGGAGATGCTAAAGGTAGGGGAGGAAGGTTGACAAAAGCAAGTTCACAAAAAAAAATGAAAAGGGAATTGACATAATCTCACCAAACTCTGGCTTTATTCAGAATATAACAATAGAAGACTGCTCCACATTTGGTGTGGGAAAAAATCCATCACTGTTTTTTCCTTTCATACCTCTCCTGTAATCATGAGAGCATTTTACTCATATGTAATTTCAATTAATACCATGGTGATAGATGTTCAACAACATTACCATTACCTAATGATAACCAAAATCAAGCTAATAAAAAGGATCCAGAATAAAAAGTTATAAAATTACTGAGTTTAAGTTTGTGAGTCAAATGAGAAAAAATCAAAAGCAGTTTGTCATTTTCTTCTTGATAGCTTTTTCATTTACACTTTATTATCATAAACACAGTATCTGTTGAAATATCTTTTTGATATTTCCCCAAATAGTCAGAATTCTACAAAAATCAGTTTTCACGGTCCTTCTTATTGGGATTTTATCATATTCTCTGTTGACTGTCAAACTCTGCTCATTAAATTTTATCTATGTCAGCAAGCTAAGGACATAAGAAATGTAAAAGCCCTATTTATGAATCCAAAAACATTGAGAAACATGCTCTATTTATACAGCTTGTCTCTTCTTTCCTTTTCTTCACTTTTTGTACCCTTCCATTTCTAAAACCTCTCCCTTGTTCAATCTCTTCAATTTCTCTATCTTCTATTTCTCAATCTATCTTCAAGCTCTTTGGAATTCCTCCTTTTGTCTGCCTTTATTTAAGAGGCTTAGAAGTTCATTTTCCCAACTTCATTTTCAGGGATCTGCTGAGTGGAAGTAGAGAGGAGGTTTGCTTGGTTTTGGTCCAAACTATATCTGGATGCTGGCCAGCTGACATGAACGCTCCACCCCGTCCCTCTTGAATAGTGAATAGCATGCTTCCCTGAACCCTTTCGTCCTCCCAAAACAATCACCTCTTGCTCCTTTCCTTCCTTCCTTCCTCCCACATGCTGTCTTTGTGACAATAAGCAATAAATACCTTGCTCAAACAACTTTATATTGCAGCTTCTGTTCTCAGACTCTCCCTCCTCTCTCTAATATTTAGCCAGTTTCCCTCAGAACTCCTTCTCTCCTACAGAAAGGTCTTGGATTTTGAAGTGCCCTGTTCCCCTCACCCTGTTATTTATCCTTTCCAGTTTTATCTCAGTTGTTCTAAATATGTAGAAGAACTGAAGTTCTTCTTTGAGAATTCACCTGGTACAAGTTTTTGAAGGAAACCTCCATGTCAGAATCACAGACACACTATAATACAGTACCATAACATAGCATGGCACTGGATGCACCAACAGGGTCAACTTTGCTGAGATCTTCCACTGTAAAATACAATGTGATGCCCACTGAGAGCTGAGGTATTACTTTGACATTTTTCCATTTATTTCATAGCAAGAGTCACGGGCATGGTAAAATACTTTCTACATATATCAGTGCTCAAGCCTCAAAAAGATCAATAGTGGTTGAAGAAGAATTCATTACACTAACAAAACCCATCAGAGAACATTTTTTAAAAAATAAAGCAAGCATCAGCCACAGCATTTCAAATTTAAGTTGCCTTATTTAAATAAAATTTCTAGGCAAGACACTGAAATAATACTGAATTTCTGTTTTTAAATTTACTCACTTGGTTTTAGTGCATAAAAACGTTGCCAGATGGAAAGCTGTTTGTACACATTTTTCCATATTTTATCAGAAGAGTCAACACAAATGAATTTCAAAAGAGAGGTTTTATAAAGAAACTATATGAAGTCTAAGTGCAAACTATACAAGGCAGCACATAAATCTAGAGGAACAGACAGCAAGTTTTACCAACGTGTTCAAAAGAATAATAATCAAAAAAGTGGCTCAGTTAAACAGCAAAGAATACTGAGTACTGGCAAAGGATATCACAACCAAGCACTACAGCATCAATTCCAGCCTTCAAAAAAATCAAAGAGAATTTTTAATGAACATTGTCATTTTTGTAGCAGGTTGTGATTTTATTACTGATATATTTTATTGTACTAGTTGAAAACATGATTTTTTGAAAAGATAAAGAAAACTAGGTGCAAAATCCAGGCTACAAAGGAATACCTATGAGAATAAGTACATTTTTAATGCATGGTTTGTTGTAGTGAAGCTCTCTAGAATAACAGCTGAATCTATTGCTAGATCCAAAGAGAAGGTCAAACTAACAAAGAAAAGCCATATCAAAAGATTTCAGAAGGTTGAGTGAGAACACAAAGAGCAATTGTCCTTGAGACAATGGGGTCTATGTCATGTATCCAGCCTCTCTGACAAAACTTGCAAACAAAATCCCCCAGCATTCGGCAGTAATTAAAATTCAGTTGAAACTACATGCCCCAGAAATGGATTAAAGAATTACTGAAATAAAGAAAAAGGCATATTTATGCAGCAAATTGTATGTAGTGGAAGTGATTTAAAGGTGACAGGTTTCAAATCAGTGAATAGCCTTGAATGGTACTACTATTCTCAGCAAATTTTTGGGGATCTGAGGTTTGTCTTCGTATTTTTTCCATTTGAGGCTTCTTTGGCTCTCAGTCTTTTGATCCCAAGAAAAGCCATACACCAAAACTAGAACAACAGACATGGAAAAAACCCAGGTGCCCATTTCATAACATGAAGATTTTCATGACTTTTGGACAAACATGGATATACTATGTCCTGTGATTCTCCTTGCTACAGCACTGAATGCTCTCACAGACACAAGGATGGAGGAGAACACTGTGACAGCAAACAAGGAGATTGGCAAAGATCCATGAAGTTCTTAGGCAGGTGTAGGTCTCTTTGGCCTCTGAAAAACTCCTTAATTGACTTATCAAAATCATTAAAAACAATCTACTTTGGTCACAAAGGAAACTCAAGACTCTGGAACGGGGTTTTCATACCTCATATCTACAGGGCAAATATCTTGCCTTGAACATCACGGGGGAAGGAGGAGAGCAAACTAGAGAGCAGTCAGCCCAACTTCAAACCTCACAAATATACAATGCAAATGTTGGGCCTCGATATAGCTATAAATTGTTTCTGAACTAAAAACTGACTTTTCAGGAACAAACTGTGTCAAACCAGTCTCATTTCCTTCCCCATTATGATAGCTACCTAGATAAGGGGCACAAAGCTCATATTAAAACTGATGCTTTTTATTAGGGTCCCACATAAAAATCATCACATACAAACTAGAGAAACATTGTTAAAGCACTGTTTGTTGTAAGACAAACAGGGTCTGTCTGACTCTCATTGAGAATATATCCTGTGAATCACTACCAAACTCAAGGAGTATTTCAAGTAGAGTTACACAGGGGTTTGTCCTGGTCTTAACTGTACTCAGGATTTTGTTAATACCATGGGTGCTGCACAGTAAGCATTCCTGAAGTCTATCAGGATATTACTGAGCCAGAAGTGGTTTCCATGACCTAAAGAGTATACTGGGACCAGTTTAGACACCTCATTTTTCAGAAAGATACAGCCAAATTGAAGAGTGCTGAAAGGGAAAAGACTTAAGAGTTTCCCACACCACTACTTATGAACAAATGCTCCTGAAACTGGGTTGGCTCCTTCAGAATCAGCAGGATGTCTCAGTCAAGCCCATCTGGTGCTTAGACAGCAATTATCCTTACAAACAGACATTTCCTTTTGCTCCCTCCAGCAGCAGAGCAGAAAACTTATTCTAGATCTCCTTCTTGCTGTTCCACTTAAGGACATGGTGAATCTGATGCATCCCCAACAACTCAGTTAAAAAAAATGGGTTACTGAACTGTTTTCCAAGACAGACCCAATTTCCTCTAGTTGTGTTTGATCCTGCCTCTCTGCTGAAGCCCTGCCAAGATCTCTCCTGGTCCCTTTCAGACTCTGTGATTTCTGTTGATTATGTTGCTTTTTTTATTTCCTGTTAAATGAAAAAAAAAAAAAAAAGACAAAACCAATTAGCAAGACTTTTATCAAACTTCTAGACAGATAGCTGTAAGCAAGACTTCATTTTCCAACGTTCTTTATAGACTTATTTAGACTATGAGTATATTCTAGCTTTTTACTTTAAGAATGTTTTTCTCCCACCCACCATGAATGCCAAGCCTGTCAATCACACTAACAACAAGAAGATACATATGGGACAGTTTAGGAGGAAGAGCAGACATGAGAAACTGCTCCTTTAACTTACTTGGAATCAACTCCAACATGTGTGCCTGGGAGAAAAAAAAAAGTATGTGGTAAGTCACGTTACTTTCATTATTTTTATATAAAATGTGAAAAAACAAACAGGGACAACAGTTCATATTTTCTGTACTGTAATATTTCATTGACCTATTTTTCTCAAGTGTATTTTCCTGGGGCAGTATTCCAATGTTACATCCAGTAAAACAAGTTGCTTGCTGCTGCTGAGGGGTTTTGCAAAGCCGAACTTCACTGTGGAAGTTTTGAGATACCTTTAACACATTTAGTGCTTATACTCATGAATATATAGAGTAGTAAGAAATGCCAGTGGTATGACCTAGGAAACAGTTTTATATTGCTTTTTAGCTATGAAATCACAAATTGAGAACTTCATTTACAAAAAGCCAAGGAGTCGGAACCGGTAAAAACTTGGTTTTTATGTTGCTTGCACATTTCAGACTCTAGGAAATTAACTTTAGCCAATATATAGTGTAAAGATGTGTTAACTCTGCTTGACACACACGTTCTGTATGGGAATGAATTTCTCTTTAGAGGACAAAATACCTGGTGTATAAAATGCTCACATTTAGATTCCTCTGAAATTTGGTAGTTCTCAAGCACTAGATATCCTTTTTTAATAGGACTCAGAAAACAAAATTTCTTAACATATAGAATCAGATTTCTACCTTTTTTTTGGAGGAATGAAATTGTAAAACAGTGCAGATTAAAATTGTTAATGTCTCCAGTAAGACACATGTTTCTAAAATAGCAGATTACTCTCTGCACACATACCAAATACATTTTTAAGCCTAACAGGGTTCACAGCAGATCAGGAGGCTCCAGGGAATTTTCAAGTAGCAAGCGAGCCTGATCTGCCCTAGGCTAGTACTGTTTCACATTCAGGTATCTAAATTCTGCTTCAAAATTTTATGTAAGCACCTGAAAGTTAGGAAAGAAACCATTTCTGTGGCCTGTCTTTATCTGGGGAACTCTGGAAGCCTCAGTATTCTGCTCAAGAACTCCTCCCACTAGAGCCCTCACAGCCAACATGCGTCCAAGTGCACATATTTATTTGGGTTTATCACACCATGGAGGTGTGATACATTACACAGGGGAACTACAAGTATGAGGGCACTAGGTAGAATCAGTAATCAAATTTGGGGTTCCCCAGCCAACAATTCTTGAAATAATCCCCTGGAGGGTAATGGAAAGTAAGTGGAAGTGCATGACAACATTCTCCATTTCTGTCACACACACTGAAGGACAGAGAACTACAGCACCAATTGAGCCAAGGGCAAAACCAGCATCAAGAGAGGAGATGCAGGAACCCAGATGAGCCTCCCCATGTCCCAGGTCTTTTTTTTTTTCTTTTTTTCCCCTCTTGTCATTATGTTTAATCTGACTAAAACACTAATGGAAAAATATTTCCTGCAAGTCTTAAAAGTCTCTTTGGTTGAAGCAAAGCCCCTTTGGGAGCAGAAAACTGAGCAGGACCTTCCCAAACAGATTCCTGCCTCATTCCATGGACAGAGGCAGACTGCACTAACCCTGGCCTTTTAAGAGACTCCTAAGAGCCTAGAACACAAATTAAGGCAATGTCAACACAGAAGAACTAGCCACAATGTAGTGTTGAGGGAGAGCAGAGAGAAACAGGTAAGACAAGGAGGATGCCTGGGCACAGCCAGGTGGGGCAGCTGGCAGGGCAGAGCTGCAGCTCACCCTGCACTGCAGGAAGGAGACAGCAACTGGCAACCAGGAGCAGTTCTCAGCACCTCAGTACTTCCAAAAATGCTCCCTGCCTGATGGGGAGGAGGAGGAGGAGCAGGTAGGGCTGGCTGCACACACTGAACTGCAAAATTCTTAACGCACTATTTTTAATTTGCCTTTGAGATGTTCTGAACTAGGACTGCTAACACCTACTCGGTAAGCAAACAGCCTGCACTTCACATTATTAATGTTCCACACCTGATGCCATCTGTTATTTGGTTATTTCGTGTAAGCAGCCATTAAACCTGTAACTCACACATCTCCTACCGAGCTGCTTCCCACCTTCACAACTCATGACAACTCTACAACAGACAAAATCACTCCTGCACTCAAACTAGGCAAGCAAACTTTCTTGTAAGGAATACATGCACCTCTCTCTTCTGGTTCTGCATATAATGGAAGGAGTATTGCTGCCTCCTGACATCCAGGAAGATGGTACCCCCCCTTGGAAAAACTCACTGCCAACTTTCTGAAACAGTGAACAACAAAAAGCACTATGAAATTCAACATCATTTTTTCATAATATGCCAGCCAAGTACCTCTAAGGTTTTTCTGAGGAGGCCAAATTTAAGATGCAAGAGCTTCAATCACATTTCTGCAACTCTGGGAATGGAGTTCTGCCAGATTCAGTGTTCTGCCAAGTCAGAAAATAGGAAATAGGTATTCACTGGCAACACCTGACCTGTCAGTCACTCTAACAGTAAAAAAACATGCAGGAAAATTTTAAGGATAGCAGATGAGATACTTGAACTTTTTCAGTAATGGCAGGTATGTGCATATGTTGATATCACAACCAGTTCCTTGTACTGGAGTCACCCACACTAGAACATTGGGACTTCCTAAATCACCCTTTACAGGCGTTCACTTTAAGTGACCAAACAGGAAAAAAGTTGCAAAAAGGACTTCCCCTTCAGATTTCTACCTCAGTAAAAAAACAGTAAAGCAAGAGTTCAGTAGTACTCATGCAGATCAAGTTTTTTCTCCCTGGAGAGAAGAATGACCACAAAACTACCATCTCAAGAGGAGTTTGAGAACTGGACAGCTTTTCAAGTTGCAGATCTCTTAAGACAGGTACTGAATCTGTAAGTAAGACTTTAGAGAGTTCAGTCTATATTCAGCTAGCAGAAACACTGGACTTATCCTTGAAAACCAGATATCTTATCCTACATCTACCACAAATATTTAAAAGTGCTAAAAATAGTTTAGTCACTATTTATATTAATATATAACTTCAGTTTTCTGTAGAAATCTAATTCATGGTAGAAGCAAAGATCTCCAACATTACAAACCATACAAAAAATGTTTTCTCACAGGAGTATTGCTTATAAGAGAAAAGATGTTTCATGCCCAAATTTATTTCCTGCTGGGAAAAAATAATCATTTCAGAGGAAGTATGTCTCGTTTTATATGTGAATATAGCTTTAAAATTTACAGCATATCAATAAGAATCTACTCTTCATGTTTTCTTCTATACATATATACACACAGTAGTTACTAGATGTTGTTTAAGTTGTACTTGAACTTTTGGGGGGAGAATTGAGTCAGTCCTTTGTTGGCTTGTATATTTCTTTGTTCTACAAGGTCCCTTCTAGTATATCTAAAATAACCTGAATTGCACAAAGTATTCCAAGTTCATTTTCAGACATCTTTCACTATCTTACTAATCTCCTCTCAAATATATAAAATATATCCTCCATGATACAGCATTTTTAATCACATTTTTCTTTTTTATCCTAGTGAATACTATTACTCAGGTCTTAGAGTTCTGCCTGTAATTTCTAAAGCCCATTCATGCACTTGGATATATAATCTCATTTTATATCTCTTTTGTTTGTTTCTATGCAAGTCAATCTATGTAATTTTATATATAGGAGGTTTTTTCTTGTGTTAATTCTAATTCTAACTGTAAGAGCACCAATCTTTTCCAGTACCTTCTTTACACCAACAGTGAGAATTCATGGTCATTAAGGTTTCTCATTTCTGTTCACAAAACTTGCCAATGCAGAGAAACCAGCAGGTCTCTGTGTTATTCTACGCCATTACAGAAATTTTGAGGTGCACAAAGCCAGGCCTGGCTGAAAACTAGAAAACAAATACATTGATATAATTCTGCCTTGAAATATCAGATCCTGTTACTGCCCCAGCACAACACTTTCACCTGAAGATATGCAAGTCACCCAGGAAAACATGACATTTCCCAAGTGTTTGACTTGCAGCAGTGGGAGGCAAGAGCTACAACCACAGTGGCAGCTCTGCTTAGAAGGTAAAAATGGCAAAATATTTACTATGCAGATATACATTTATATCTCTTAGATCTAAGCAGTTGTAGTACCCAGTGAATATCGTGTGAATTTTATTTCTCATGCACATCAACTCCCCTTACAAATGAAGTTATCATGTCAGAGAGTGGTCTCAGAATAAAGAGTTATTAGTGAATCTGAAGCACCTGAACAATAAAGAGTGCTGTAGAACAGTTCAATTTTGAAAAAAACCATTCTGGGTTCAGAGAAGGTTTTGAGTACTGTGCAGGACAGGTACACAAGACAGACAAGCAGTGAGCACTGAACAGAAAATAATACATCAACCTTCAGGAAAATAATATCAGCTTCCATGGCCTGTGACTGAGGCTGGGTTTTCTAGAAGAGGTATACTCATGCTGATGCCACAATACATACATAAAATGGGTATGTACATGTGTACCATGCAATTTTAGTATCTTCGGAAATTTAAGTCTTAATGATATAGATTTTTCTGTGTCATAAATACAGAAGTTCTTAACTAGTCATTCTGCAAAGTGTTTTCAGCCTCATGAAAGGAATTTTGTATAAAATCAATACCTTAACTACTAAATAATAATTAAACACACAGATTTTGCATTTTCCTTCATAAGTAAGTGAATATAGTAATGGAGACCTGTTAGCCACGTGGATGTACCTCAATGTCATCTTGCACCTATGCTGTAGTTGCAACACTGAAATATTCCATGTTGTGTTCAGAGATTATCTACTTGGCCTCCATTTGCCATATAGTCTGGTCCCTCTCCTAGTACTGATCTTAATGTACTTGTAAGAAAAGTTAATGCAATCTCAAGAAAATTAAAGGTTCCATGGTCATCACTAAACACCAGCAGCAATACACCCACTTGGCTAATGCATTAACCATGTAAAATGAACAAATTTTCCCTTACACATAAGCTTGATTAATAGCATAAGGCAAAGCTCAAAAGCAGCTCATCAAGCCAGTAACTGAAGACATTGGTAGAAACTAGAAACAGATGAGCAGAAGCCAAGAGAAGCAGAAAGTCCATAGCCTTATTTGTCTCTCACCAACACCTATTCAACAGATGGCAAATTAACACAATGCACAAATGACCACTAGTCCAACAACCACAGCAACCTTCTCCTTTGAATTGTGATCTATTCTGCATTGCAAACAAGCAGGACTCTCCCAATCATAGTAGAAAAAAATTTATAAATCAAGGCCTATCAGCTAACAGACCAAAAAAAGAATATATATTTGAACAGGACATTTTCATATCAAAAAGTAGAAAAAATACACACTGAATATTTAAGCATGATCAGTTTTAAGTAGTCTAGAAATACAGAATTATCTTAGGAAGGCCACATAACTATGTCTATAAGAACTTATAGCCCTAATATTTCTCTGTTAGCATCTGATTTGGTCACTACTGATACTGACATTTACGTCTAAGCATTACAAATACTAAAACTCAACTTGAGAGTGGTACATTTTTAAAGAAAAGATTCCCAAATTTTTTTGCCACTTTCTATGCATAACAGTTAATTTCTTTCAAAAGCCACACTAAGCCATCTAACACACCATGAGATTTTTTTAGGACATCTTCAGCCTTGATGCATTCTTTTCCTCTCCTTAATAGAAAATCCAATGTGTCCATTTTTTCCAAACTACTACTCAGTAGTTAGTTCTATTTCAAGATGTAATATTTCTGGACATTCTGGTTTCATTTGAATTTATAATTAACATCAACTTTGTTGAAAAACACGATTACCACAGCCAAGCTACAGAAAAAAAACCCTGTTTCTGAACCTGAGTTCTTTCCAGCAATGCCCATCAGCATGGTTAAGTGCAAGACACAGGCCAAATAGCTGGTACCAAAGTCAAGCAGAGCAAACAGAGGTTGCTAAACAGCCATGTGGGATGATGGCATGGCTACTGCTTAGCTTTTTCCTCAGGTTACCTTTTAACCTGTTTCTAATTCTGGCTTCTTATCCCACAGCAATCCACAGTACTCCTGTTGGGCTCCTTGCTCCACTTATATGATATTTGCTGCTTGGAAATTTCTTTTTTTCTACTCCATCCACAATTTCATTAGCCCTTATCCCCTGTAATCTTTCTTCCTAAGAAAGAGGTAATACTGTGTCTTATCTCTTACGTGAAAGTCACTGCCTGAGCATTACAGTTACTCAATATTCTTTTTCTAATTATCCTTGTCAAGTAGTATAACAATTTCCACAAACCTGAGTATTTGAGCATGGCAATATTAATTAGTTTGTTTACAAATGCCAAGTTTCACACTATTGTAATCTTGTCTTTTTTCTCACCTCAGTTTGGAATGCCTGAATCTGCTGTGGTTGTAGAAAAACTGTGCATGAGTGGATCTCATTTCTTGGTAAGCAAATATTCCATAAGAGCTCTCACTCAGGTGTATTTCAGCTTGGGGATTGTACTCCTTGCAGTGCCAGGAAATAATGTGAAATGTTTCCTTCTCTATACACACTTCATCAATTGCTTTGATTTTGCATTTGAGTGGGTTGATTTCCACCTCTGACTCGAGGAATCCTCCTACACAAAAGAAATCCCAGTCAGACTTCCCCTCTCCAGAGAAAGGCCAGATATAATCAGCCATCAGCACACAGGTGTGGCAGGGGACAGCTCATGAAATATGAGGAGGTTGTGGGTTTTTTAACAATATAGATATTTTGAAGCCATCATTTATGTAAAAGCTTTTTGATAAAATTTGCATTATTAAGAACATTTACCAGCACAGAATTGTACATCAATTTTGTAGAAAAAGTTTAAAGAAACAATACCTGAAAAATCTGATAATGTCCTTTCCTGACCTCTGTAGAATTTTTTGTATGAGCATGTTTGATTGCAACTAATAAGGAGAGAAGACTAAATTCCTTGAACTGCAGCAATTCTTCCATCAATAATACCATCTGTGTAATAACTGAACAAAGTTCCTTAAAATCTATTTAAAGGTAAAATTATTGTTATGGTGCATTTATGCACTGCAGAGATAATATGTTTGCTTGGCAATTCATTGCTAAACAGAACTGTTTCCTGGGTGCATCAGGAGTTATATCTGCTGTTTACTCTAACAAGAGCTTCAGTGCTGCAACACGATTCATGAGACTGCAGGTGCACCTTGGCCACAGAGTAAAACTGGGTTTTACCAGCTCACACCAATGCAGTGGGGCTGACAAAGCTGCCAAGTCCACACTGATGCCTGTCCCATCCATCCATTACAAACTGGATCACTGAAGGTGCTGCAGTCCCCATCACTGGATGAGAGGCAGTGAAGTTAAAGTCAAGGGTGGATGTGGCAGCTTCCTGTGACTCTGTAAATAAAGCTGTAGAGCAGCAGTGGACTGAGAAGTAATTTCAGATGTTAGTGGCAACCTATTCAAAACACAAGTGAAAAAAGCAAGGAGAACAATGGGTGACCTTTGGACAGTCTACAATAGAAAAGTAGTATGAGTAAAAACAAAAGTATTTGCTAGTATGTTCTCCAAACTATGTAGTGTCTTCAAAATAGCTTTAAAGACTATTTTGCACTGCCAAAAACATGGCATCATACATGCAACACAATAAGCAACATACATTTTTTATGTCTGTGTAGAAAAATTGAGACAGGTCTCACACACTGGTAGAAACTTTCTTCCAAATTTTATATATTCTTTAATTGAATTGCTCAGTAGCATTGTCAACATGATACATCTGCATGCTTGAAACAGAATTAATTATGACAATACTAAAAAAAATTCAAATACCTATATTTGTCTATCATTACCAGCCTTATTTGACTAATTGTAAGATGCTGTTCTCCTATGTACAAGCTAACACTTATATCAACTTAAAAGTAATTAAATCAAGAGCCAAGTTTTTTATTCCAAGCTCCTAGCCCAATATACGAGAAATCTCTACTACACCAGAAATTAAATGTTCCTTATCTCCTACAAGGTGTGCTTTAGAAAGCACAGTATCCAATGGAGTAACCACATGTTGGTCATTGCCACTCAGAAAATCTGAGGTTTTCTACATGACATATAGCATGATTCCTTAACTGCATTTACTGTTCTGTGTAGAGATGTTCAGAATTCAAAAATTCTACCAGTCCTGAAGCTGTTATATGCCTGTTAACTGTCTTTTGCAAGAACCTGAGGGTTTGCCCTTCAGTTTATCCTTCAGTTATCAGAAGAATATTATTTCCTTCTACTCCTGTCTGCAAAGTCTAAACAGAAGCTCAATATCACCTTTAGACATTAAGATTAGAATCATTAGAGAAAAGCTGGCCATCTATCACTACACAGCAATGAACCAAAAAAACAAGCCCAAAACCCTAAAAACACTTGAACAAGCCTGCTGACACCTAGTAAATAGAAGTGACAGGTTTACCTTTGCATAATAATTTTTAAAAAGCAAATACAGGTTTGCTGCTGTGTGTGCATAGACACCCTGTGCACACATGGAGATCTCACAATACATGTGCAGTGTTTCTGTGTGTCTAGCAAAAGTCAGATAACATTTAGATACAGATCTGGTCTTGCTATGAGATCTGTTAGGAATCACTAAAAGTGAAAATTCCTTTTAGCCTGGCAGATAAAGAAGAAAGCAACTCTGTGGTATCTGACATGAGAACACAGTGAGCACATTCAGAGGGGCCCAAGTTGCTGCTTTACCTTTGCATCAGCTGGAAGATTGTCTTCCATCCCAGCTGCAGAAGGCACATCCGAGTGCCTGTGAAGGCAGGCAGGGCACCCCAAGGGAACCACCCCAACACCAACCCATCCCAGCCTTCACAACTCCCAGCCAGCCCCCTCTACTCACAGTGCCACTCCTCCAGCCTGCCCCAAAGCCCTGCTATGGCTCTGACCCCTAAGAACATGCTGTGCAGGGGATTTGTGCCAGTGAGATGTGCCAAAATCCAGAGGTAGTGCCAGCCCACTTCTGGGGAGCACTGGAGGGAAGCTTTCCTGGAAAGAAAGATCTGCAGCCAGCACACTGCACTTTTAGCAAAGATATAAACACCAACCCACCAGATGTGCCCTTATTTCCTGGTTTCCCAGTGAGGACACTCATCTTTTCAATTTTTCCAAAGAGGAATATTGTCAAATGTTGGGAGAAGGCTGCAGAAAGTAATTATCCTATAGCCTGCCACTGAACTAACATGAAACAACCTAGGGAGCCATCCTGCACAAAATCCTTCTTGTCAAATGCAAACTGCATTTTATTTGAAAGTGAATCAAAAATTTATCAACAGTAAGGTCTTTTTGAACTTTAAAGTGTTTGGAGTCATGCAGGCATTATAGCCACAAAATCTATGATGAGTTGGCCACAACACCTTAAATCAATTTGACTGCCTTCAGAATAAAAATAATCAACCTTTATATGGTCATTTCTTTGAATATTTCTTCCCTTTGAGTGGCTAAAAAACAATCATTTTTATGGTAATGTCATATTCTATTTTATAAACATACTGAGCATCCAACTGAACTTTTCTAGGAAAATAAATTACATGCATTTCATAAAAATTTAGAAGTAATAGGTCTTCTTTTACACTTCTGTAGAATCTAAAAACACAAAAGGTTGGTATATTAGATCTGAAGTGTACCATGCAGTTTCATTTTTCATCAATAGTACCATACTTGTGATAGTTATTCAATATGCAGGTCACATCTGAGTGATGCTAATCTAGTCCTAATGTGCAAATCAGCATTAAGCCACAGCTGCATTGCACAGAGCATATTATATTCTCTCTTGCTTTTTAATGTCTGAACTTGCTACAGTGTGCTCCTGGCTTTTCAGTTCCCTCTAAGTGTAGGTTGCTTGCTTGATGTTTTTTTTTTTTTTTAATTCTGTTTTGAATTCCCAGTGACAGATTGAAAAATACATAAAAACAGGGAAGTTTTACTTGAACTTCAGAACTAAAAATAGGAGACTTTCTTATTAGATTTGTATATAGAAATTTACTAAAAGAAATCTAAACACAGCAAAAATGGTCAGGCATTGATTCTAAACTACTTTTATGTATTTCTCATCTTTTTTGCTCTTTCAAAATGTGTTTTGAATTGCATGGCTGGAATAGGAATGCCCTGGAGAAAACCAGAGCCATGTTATTCACAAATACTCTACTGAGGATTTTTGAATAATATTTTAAAAATGGAACTGGTGTCTTCCTGTGGGAGATTCCTGACTCCCTGCCAGTGCAAAACACTGCCAGAGCTTGTCAGGTTCAACTCACCAAGCCTGTCCTTTGACATCCATTTCTGTCAGCATTGCTACTGAGAAAAAGCAGCTCTTGTCCAGAAAAAGCAGCCCTGGTCTCACTTGGGTGCTCCCTCCCATCCCTGCAATGCAGAAGCAGCAGACAGGAAAGCACAGGAACCACATCTGCTTTCAATGGTGACCACAACAACCAAACACACCACACCTAGAGCTCCTCTGCTGCTATTTGAAATCTCCCACCTTCCCCAGTTTGAGCTAAAAGAGTATTTCCCAATGACAGGAGTGATATTTTCACAGCATGGGATATGGGAATAAGTGGAAAGACATTAAAATTGGTTTAGGTGGTATGGATATCTGCTTGGAAAAAAGATACCCAGCATCAGGTTCTTTTCAGATTGATCTGACATCTACCCATGTATATTTAGTTTTACAAACAAAATGCAGACCATGAATGCCTTGAGTTTCCAGAGAGAGGGAAAAATTCTAGGTCCTATATAAACAAAAGAAATTGAAGACTTACTAAGTACATTCTTATAAGCTAATTCTTCTGGGAAAGAACCAAAAGAGCCTTGCAGTGTTTTCCCTGGGTGTCCAGCAAGCATGGCAAGCTTAGGTAAGGGTAGAGAAGCATGGTCCCAGGTGCAGGTACTGGTGAGTCCCACCCACGGGCTGGCTGTTGACACCTTAATGCCCCAAGTGCATATCCAGGGTTTACTAATATACTGCATATCTCAGAAAGCCATAAAATAAGCTTTTTTGCAATGACACAAAACTTTAATATTAAAGTTTTGGCACACTCAATTGTTTTGGAAGTACAAGTGATGTAGGCATTGTTTGTCCTGCCTTTGGCAAGCACACAAGGTTACCATGGCAAATAAAAAAGGATTGCTTACCACAGAAAACTGATGTTACAAAAATACACATCTTCAGCTACAAAACTAAATTAAACCATATAACTGCATTAATTTAGTTGCATTTTTACACTATTTTTATTGCTCTGACGTTGCTTTCTCCTATTTATCTACCATCTGCCACCTTCCCCTTTGCATTTCACCACATCTGAGCCCCTCTTCACCCACTCCCTTTTAAACCTCCTTGCCTCCAGTGCCTTCCAACACCCAGTGCTTTGTTTCTGCTCCTCTTTTAGCCAGGGCCCTCTTT